GGGAGGGGAGCTGGGGTTGGCAGCGCGGCTCCCGCTTCGGGCGAGGGTGCTGGAAGTGACGCGACGGCTCTCCCTGCCCCGCTAGAAAAGCATCCAGGTCAGAGCAAAGCCTGATTCCCTGCCCTCGTAGGGAAGAGCAAAATCAAAGCGAGTGCATTGTGAGGAGGAAGTCAGTGATGGGAAAAATGCTGAAGGGTATATGATTTCCCCCGCCTTTGCTCTGTGGCTGCTTCTCATCTGCTTAATCTAGATCTGAAGTATACATCCAAAAAGGCTCAGTTTAAAAATCAGAATTCTGTCCGACTTTGTTAATTCACGTTAAGAAGCTCACAGGTTGTCCTTGGGGGGAAAAAATTGGATCTTTTGGATTAACGTTTATGCAACAGATTGTACAGAATCAGTTTTCCTTCCTTTGTGTGGGCTTAGCCAGCTTGCCTTCTACCAACTGGGAGGGAGAAGAAAAAAAACGGTTTTCGATAGCCAGTCCAGGAGTGTGGGGGAGGATACTGTTTTTTTTTTTCTTTTTGAAGATGCCTATGTATTTAAAATAAATGGACTTTTTTTAGAGGTTTACCTTTAAATAAAAAAGAAACACTGATTTAAGTGGATTAAGGCATCTGTAAGGAAAGTTTATCATGACAAAATGTATGTGATTTGGCAAAGACATCTAAGGAATGGAAGAAAGAAACCTGTAAGTGTCTTAAGGCTGGGGGGGGGGGGAATTTCTTTTGGGAAAGAAATGTGTAATTGTGACTGACAAAATTGCATTTCCCATCTCTTAATCACGTGGGTGAAAATAAGGAAAACGTCAAGAAAAGGAGAGCAATGAGGTTTTGAAATTGCCTTCCATTGGACGTATTCCAGAGCCCTATAAGCTAATTCTAGAAGACTTGAAAACCAGAATTTCTATAGTGTGCTTCTGAAAATGTCTTAGTAAGATATATTTATTAACAGTGCATTTGGAATTCCAATTCTGATAATAAAAGTGCTTATTATGAATGCCAGTTGCCTGTGTTTATTTAAGTATTAAATGTCTTTACGTAGTATACATCTGTCAGGCTTGTTGGTGCATAGATGAGTGTTAGAATGAATTAATGTAGAATGCCAGAATACAAGAAAAGGACCGAAGAATTTCCTCTGTATGCCACAGGATCGTTTAGGTTGGAAGGGACTTCCATAGGTCTCTAGTCCAACCCTCTGACCCTCGGGTCAACCTAGATCAGGTTGCTATCCCACTTTAAAACTCTTGTTGTGTTACTGCATGTTTTTGATATATGTCACTTAAATCAAGCTGTTGCAAAGTTTATAACAGCTTGGTCATATTAATGAGATGTAAATCATAGATATAGCTCAGTAAGGGAAAATATGAATCTAAACCCTTGCATCTAAACCCTTTCCATCTCTCATCCTGCAGGATGAAGAAACACGTAAAGATTATGACTACATGTTGGATCATCCTGAAGAGTATTACAGGCATTATTACCACTACTACAGCAGGAGGTTGGCCCCAAAAGTGGACGTCAGAATAGTGATTCTAGTTACGGTGTGTGCCATCTCTGTGTTTCAGGTAAAACTCTTCATCTGATGTGACATTGCTGAATGACTTTCTGAACTGCACGAGAAGTAAGCACAAATCTTGTAACCTGCCAGTTTTTGAACAACATCAGTGCGGGACGGGACCTTTTTATATCTGCTATGGTAAACTTCTGTGCGGTATCCACAACAAATCTGAAGTCAGGATGTCCTGAACAGATTTTTGACCTTGGTATATTGGACAAAGGTAGAGATTTTATAACTGGTTCCTTTGGTGCTAAAATACTGCAAACAGAAAGCTCCTGCACTCCTAAAGAAATAACTTAGTTCTGAGTGTCAGGCTGTGAATAGTCTGTTCCTGAGCACAGTCAAGATTAAAGCTTTAAATTGGTGTCAGTCAGTTTTTCAAGCTGCACGTCTTCCCCCCCCCCTCCCCGAACAAAAATTTTAAGCTATATTCAAAACTAAATTCAAATCATAGAGCTGAATATCAGGGTTGTGGTTTGCTAATGTGTGTATCTTACAATGTAGTTTATTTTAAAGATCACAGTGAGAACAACTGAATTTGGCTCAATGCGCTTCACTCTGAAGATGGTATTTACAAGTTCAAGAAGCAACTGATGTTTTGATGAGAACACTTGTCATGTTACTGACAGTTATTTAACTGGAGGAAATTGTACAAACCTTTCCTTAAGCATCCATTAAATGTATTCATTCAAAACTTCCTTATATAAAACAGAACTTGGTATTTAAGAGGTGTAGAAACAGTATATTATTCTGTGGTACAGATGGTTCATTTTTTGGTGGGTTGTTGGGAGGTAAAGAATGCAGACAAACATCTTACCACCTGCTGCTGATCGCAGTGTGAGAGTTTTTTATCCTCCATATTGCATTGCTTGAAATGCTGGCTACTTTGTTTGCAAATCCAAGTGGACTTTAGAGAATGGCTGGCATAGCCTAGCATAAGCTTCTTTTAGAGTAGTAGGGAATAACCATTTCCTAGTGAACAAAAACAGCTTGAACAGTGTGTTTAGTCACTATACATTGGGAAATGGCCATATATATCAAATAGCAGTCTCCACATGTGCCTTACTAAGTTTGGAGGAACAACTGTAACTATAGCTTCTCTAATACTACAGAAGTTATAACTGTTACCTTCATTTTTTGCCCTTGCTGTAATATAATTGGTGGCTATATAATAGAGCACGTTTTTTTTTGTTGTTGTTTTTCTGCCAAAGCCCCAAATAAGAATAAAGCACGTATGTATAGAAAAAACATGATTTTTTTACTGTTCTTATATTACAGTTCTTCAGCTGGTGGAGTAGTTATAATGAAGCTATCAACTACCTAGCGACAGTGCCAAAATATCGCATACAAGCTACTGAGATTGCCAGGCAACAAGGTTTACTCAACAGGACTAAAGAAAAAGGCAAAAACAGGCGGTCTAAAGAAGAAATCCGTGAAGAAGAGGAAGAAATCATCAAAGACATTATCAAAAATAAAATAGATATAAAAGGCGGTTATCAGAAGCCCAAGATATATGATATCCTTCTATTTCAGATCCTTCTTGCTCCTTTTTACTTGTGCAAATACATAGTTTGGTACTGTTGGTGGATTTATTGTTTCACCATTAAAGGGCAGGAATACGGTGTGGAAGAGAAGCTTTATATCATACGGAGATATATGAAAATGTCGCAGTCTCAGTTTGACAGCCTAGAAGATCATCAAAAGGAGACCTTTCTTGAACGGCAGCTATGGATACGAGAAAACTATGAGGTGGGTAGCTGTGATGAGAAACTAACATTAATTATCCAGTCTTCTCAGACTAAGACAAGGTGTCTGGACACCTTTGCACACCAGACAGCAATCTGGGAGTCACTGCTTCATTTCTAGCAATTACTGACTAAATAGAAGACTGTTAGAGAACGCTCCTCAGTTTCTCTTCAACATCTTACGCTCGCTTACTGCTAGGCAGCAACTCCTGGCCCTGTCTGAGTGTATAAGAAAGGATTTGCTTGGCCGGGGTCATCCACACATAGTTGTTAGGGAATCTGCGGATACAAGATTGAATTGAATCTGACCAAAGACCGTCTTGTGACGTTGTGGTAAGACAAGGAATTACAGCAGGGTGCAGAACGTGGATACGCGAAACAGTATTAAATCATGGTCAGGCTTACCCAGATCATCTGAACCTCCTATTTTCTCTGTGTCCTGAACCATTAATTCCTAACTTGCTAATGTTTTGACAGTTGTCTGCCTTCAGTGATTCAGGGACTGTTCTTGCTGTGCTGTGTGCTTACTCAAGTAAAAATGGTACATGGAATACCATAAGGCATACTCTGTTACCTAATCGCCAAGATGTAGGGATGTTGTTCTTAAGGAGAAGAGGCCACATTGCTGCTGCTTGGCATGCTCAGGGAGAAGGAACAGCGCGGGTGGCAGAACTGCCTATTCAGCTGTTGGAGAGCAGCAAACGAGAGAGTACATCTTTTAAAAACAGGAAGAGGTGGATGGCTTCAGAAACTTAAAGGGGAGAAAAGTAAAGTTGATAATGTAGGTGGAGGATTAGCCAACAGGTAAATATGCATATTGAGTTATGATGGGTTTTCTGGAAGACAAAATAGAAGTCCAAAGTTGTAGTAATGTTACCAGTCAAAGCAGATGTCAGATGGAAAAAGAAAGGCAAAGTGAATATTCTGTTGTTGTAGAGAAGAAATTAGTGTGGTTTTGGGATCCACGCTGTTTCTGATTAGTATGGTTTTGATCACAGAGTATAAAAGAGCTGTATTTGCTAGAGGTGAGGTCTGTTTAGCCCAAAGTCATGTCCTTTGGTGGCCAGCAGCTGATTTTGAGTGAAGAATGTAGGAATATGGCACCTATATAGCGATACTTATCCAGTATAATCTGTAGCTTTGGGACTTGCTGAACAGGAAATGGTATCTTCCTAGATAATTGCCTTAATGAATTTTTTAATAAGCATATCTGATTGCTATTTGAACCCCTAAAAACTTTGAGTATCTACTGTGTTATCTAATGATAAGTTCAAAAATACATGTAGAAAACAGCTTTTTGAAGCCACTGAGACACTGCCTGGTTTTTATATTAAAAGAAAAAGAGAATAATCATTCTTCATTCTCTTTTCTCATGCTACCTTTGCTCTTCCAGAGTGCTACCATATCCTTCTGTGATATTTAGTCACGTATTTTCTTGGCTGAAAAGTTTACTTAGGTTTTTTTGTCATACAAAAGCTTCTCTCTACCTTTGATCATTACAGTTGCCTGTCTGTGTTGTTCTGTTTTCAATAATCTTTTGGGGATGGGGAAGACCAACAATTCAGTACACAGACACATCGTGTAGTTCTACAGTAATAGACTGTTTTATGTTTTTCTTCTGCTACTTACCCTAATACTTGTATGTTTATTTGACAGCTGAACATTGATTACATACAGTTATCTATAATATTTAAAAATATCTCTTTCCTGCATGGCGGAATCTTAAACTTAATTCCCTTACAGGGAGAGTTCAGATGATACTGAGACATCGTAAACCTGTATCATGTTGAGATTTACGTTGACTCTATCTGCAAACTTCCTTCCAGAATAAAAATGTAGATACTGTTGCATTTTTAGATTGTATTGAAATCTGTAATTATCAGCAATGATACAATTTCCTGAAGTAATTATTTATCATTTGATAATACCAATACTTAAGTTGATGGCTGTATCAACTTAGTTGAGAAACTAAGTAAGGAATAAAATAGCCGTAGCAGAGTAGATAAATAATATTAGAATGGCTTTGAAATGGGAAAACAACTAATGCATAAAGTTAAACAAGTGCATTGAATGGTACCTGTACTGAAAAGGACTCATTCAGCTTTGAGTGATACTGCTTTTTTTAATGTAAACTTTGTTTCCTTGACTGCACGAGCATCTAATTCTTTAGTGAACAAGTTTCAGTGCTTGCAGTGCAATCTTACAATGATGTAGTTCTACAGTCAGCAAGAAAATTTTAAAGTATCTCGGCTGCAGATCAAGGCTCCTTGGCTGAAGGTACTCTTCCACTGCATGTTAGTCAAGCTCTGTCCACCGTGTTGTGATTCAGTCTTCCTTAAAATCAATAAGCTGGCAAATAACTATCAACTGTTGCAGCCACTTCCAGGTTGACTTAACTTGTTTCGTGAGCCTTATTTGAAACTTCTGTCTGTTTATCAGGTCTATAAACAGGAACAAGAGGAAGAGTTGAAGAAGAAGATGGCCATGGATCCCCGATGGAAAAGATACCGGAGGTGGATGAGAAATGAAGGACCTGGAAGACTAACTTTTATTGATGACTAAAAGCTGATGCACAAATCTATGCTAATGTTGAAACTGACTTGCAAAACTTCTTCACTACATCATTCAGAGTTTTATCTGCTGTGGCTCAGCAGTGATCTAAAACTCAGGAATTATTACAATCAGGCTGAAAAATAGTACAAGTTTACCATTTCTATAAGTCAAATCTATTAAACAGACTTAGCTCAATGTATATATTCCACTTACTTGGGGATTTCAGAGTGGATCTATGATGTGGAATTCACTGTTTCAAATAATGTATTTTCCTCTACGTATTTCATATTCCTGATCAATAGAACCATAACTTTCATCTTTCCCAGAGTGTTTCTAGATCAACCTGTGAAATGAAGTGTTTCTGCAAATGGACACTGGCAATTTGGAAATGCTCAAAAGGACTCTGAAGCAAGGACCATTTTCTGCCTTCCTCTTCTCTCTTTTTCCCTACTTTTCAACTTAAGTTCTGAAATGGCAAATTGTTTTTTTGATGTAGACTGCAATATGGGGATTATGCCTGACTCTTTCTTCTGCTATCCCTGGTCCAGTTGGAAATTTGAATTTTATTCTTTGTGGGAATAAATGATGCATGACAGATCATCATTGTGATGCAAACAAGCCTTAATTCTTTGTTCTACAGAGTGATACATGAAGTAGTATGCTTAAATCTTTTGCGTGTGGTTTTTAATCTTGTACGTTGGATTGTACCTACTTGTTCGAAACAAGTGTACCAGTAAACATTAGTCTACTAAATGTGACATTTCTTTCACCAAAGTATTGGTAAAGGGGAAAATGACCCTTTTGTTTAAAAGGGCAATTTTGATGCCTTATGTAAATAAAAGTTTATTATAATATAAATCTTGAATTTGTTTTTAATGCTAAATCTGAAGTATTCTTTATTATGTTTATATCCCTGTTGATTCTTCTAAACGGATCAGATCTTGGAGTACCTGGATGAAATATTGTGGAGCAGCACCCTCTGCTTTCATCTATAACTCAAGCCAGGTCATAGTTTCCACAATTTGCTGCTAACAGGGATTCTGTTACCATATCTCATATTTTACTGAGGAGGGAGGGGGTGGGTGGGGTGTGTAGCGAGCTTGGGCTGCTTCCATCATTTATCACATCTGTAAAAACAAATTCCACAAAAGTATTCCCACTAAAAACAGTGCTAGGTTAGCCAAACGTCTATTAAGGCAGAGTCTGAGAAATAATCTCTTCAATCAGCAGATTGAATCAGCTGATTCAATCAGCTACTCCAGCCAAAGCCCATAATAACTAGAAGTTTTAAATTACTTACTATTTTTTGAATCAAGACGTTTCCGATCCTGTGACGGTACCCTATTGTTATAGGAATTATAGGAGAAGGAATTACAGCTCTCTGTCGCTCTTTCTGCTAGTTTAGCTTTCACTAATTCTTGGAATGTCATCTCAATTTTCTGATTTTAAATAACAATAAATATGTACTCAAAAGTATATTAGGGCTGTTAGGCTAAGTGGTTAACTTCGTGAATCTGTAAAATTAAAAAAAACCTGCTAGATCTGTTCCTTCCTCTCTTCTGCTGTGCAGGTTAGCTATGAACCTAATTCATTTTGTATTTAAAGGCCAATTCATACCTAAAACTTAATTGGTAAAGAAGGTATTTAGAATGAGCTATGCTTGTTTTCATGAAGTAATATTTTGGACACTGCTACTGATGGCTTCAGCAGGGATGCTACAAAGATGTTTATATGTGAGATGCGCCTTCACAGTTTGCGTGTATTGCTTCTTCATCTCCCAAAACACATTCTGCCTCCCAAAAGAACGGTGAGCAAAACCGGCTGCTGTGAGAGATAGCAGGGGAGTAAGGATAAGAACAATAAAACTGTTGCTTATTACGTAAAGCAGTTACATGCAGTGTCTGCTTTTTTCTAGACAAAAGAGCATCCACATCTGGTGCCACAGTTTCACAAACACTGAGCTAATTCTACCCCTCTTGCTTGCCCTAGTGCTTCATTCAGTGCTGTGTCCTCCCTCTTGAGCAAAGTATTTGTGTGGTAGACTGGGTTGTGCAAATAGCTGGCAAAAATATATATATTTTTTTCCCCTTTTTGTTTGGTTTAGTTTCAGTCAAGATTAACTTCCTTACCGGATTCTGTACAGCAACAAATTCGCGCAGTAGAAGGTGCAGTCTCTGGGAGGGCAGACCTGTGTCTTTCAGTGGCAGTGAAGTCTTACGTTTGTAAAACTATGGCCTGATAGTGAATGAATGGAGAAGCAAAAAATCTGCAGGTGTTTTATTATTAGTGGAAATGAGCTGTTCTGCAGGCTTGAGTCAGAGTTTCCATTTTTTCTCGCCACGTGAGTCCTTCAAAAATATCCAGATATAGGCAAAAATTCATGGGCTGCAGCCAGCATTGCTGGGCCGCACAGCAATCACACCTCCCTGATGAAGCCTAGAAATAGCAAGTCTCTATTTACAGGCCTGTCATTCTGCAGTAACACATCATTAGCTGAGGTTACTTAAGCACTTCAAGCCTAACGTCTCATTTTCGTTTTAAATTAGGTTTGCCTTTTGGGTATAAGTTTCCAAGCACTATCTTATCTTGAAATTAACTCTACAAGACACCACTGCGTGTGTACAAAGAAAGAAAAAGAAAAAGAAAAAGAAAAAGAAAAAGAAAAAGAAAAAGAAAAAGCAGGAGTAACGCTGCTGAGAGTTGTGATAATACTATAACCAGTGTAAACTTGATTATGACTTCAGTGAGAATTGTTTGTGCCAGCAAATGTTGATGGCACTGGGTATCACTCATGTTTGTGGGTAAAACAGGAAAGTATGCCAAGATAACAGAATTTCAGAAAAGAAACACCTCACGCCATCGCTTCTCCTGTCAGCATTTTCCCAGGAATGGTGTTTGTTTGCTGTATATCTACACTTTTAGATATACAGTGTATGTTAGGTAAAATGTGCCTCTTACTCAATATGCAGAAGACAAACAATACCTTTATTTGCTGCAAGTCTTTCCAATGACAGCGGGGAGCCTTTGGCGGAGGCTGAAAGATGTACTTGAACAGGTGGACCTCTGTTCAGCAATTTTTTTTTTCAGCTTCCTGCTGTTTTTAACAGGTCAGCAAACTAACAGCTGACTGAAAAAAAGAAAAAGAAAAGGAAAAAGGAAAAGGAAAAGGAAAAGGAAAAGGAAAAGGAAAAGGAAAAGGAAAAGAAAAAGACTTTCACAGTCGCTAGGGAAAAGTTAAACAGCATCTGAGGTTCACTTGCCGTCTGCCCTCGCTGGGTGCAAGGGCGATGCAGGAACATCACCAGCAGCTGCTGGACAGCTGGAGCCCAACAATTCCATGCAAACAGAGGGGGGTTGGGGTTTTTTTGTTTTGTTTGTTCGTTTTTTCTTAATGTTTGCAAATACTGAGGAAATTCGCATCCTTCCTCCCTCCCCACCCCCACCGCACATTTTAACCAAACAGATTTTCGGCTCCGAAAGCCCACGAGGCGTCCGTCCCGGGGCGGTGCCGGGGCAGTGCGGACAGCGGTGGCCCGGCCCGGCCCGGCCCAGTCCGGCTCCTCC